AGGGAACAGCAGTTAACTTTTCTCAGAGGCCGGCGCAGGATAATTACTGCAGCGTGTTGTTGGGTATTGATGTCCACGAGCAGGACAAAGGACACAGAGATGATGAGAAGCCAGGAGGAATGGTGTGTCACCAGATAAAGATTTACTATTTGCATCAGGTTGCTTAGTTTCGATTAGAGCTCCACACACACACACACACACACACACACACACACACACACACACACACACACACACACACACACACACACACTCACACACACACAACTGGGCTTCTCCTGCGAGAGGCGTTATAAAACATTGTGGGGGAAGTTACTTTAAAAGTGTCGTCAACTTCTCATCACATACTACTTATTAAAACATAATGACTTTACTAAATACTCAAAAGTAATAATTACCTAGCTTCTTGAAAGATAAGATAAGCTTAACCTTTATTGATCTTTGTGAGTAAATTCAGTTATAAAAGCAACAGCAGGAATTAAAATAATACACACAAGGTTATAAGAATAGAAAATATTGAATGTAATGTAGGTAAAACGGTTTCATATGAATAATTATGAATGTTATGAATATATATGAATGTCTACATGGACGTGCCTTTAAACAGCTAAAAGTCATCACTATGACATGTCACATCTTCTGCATTTTAATCATGTGTAGATAAAGAAAACAACAACATGAATTCACCATCAAATTGACCATTTGTACAGCAGTTACTCAACCTGTGTTACCTTAATGTGTTTGTCTTGCATGCCTCCATTATGGACAAAAACAGTGTTGCAAAATGAACTACATATTAATTTGTATTAGTGCATACATGAGCGCTTGCTTGCATTCTCACGTCTTAACATACAGTAGCTCAACTACTCGATTGGGTAAAATATGTTGTGTGCAAACAAATAAGAATACCCATTTTAAACAATCAGAAATAGAGCCTTCTTCCACACGTTTCTTCCCCGTTTTTGGAACCAAAGCATGAACTTTGAGAGACTGTTTGTCGCTCCCCCCGCAACTCAATAAAAGTCTCCGTCTGCCGTGTTGTCTGAGATCGTCTTCATCTCGCTGCTCGGGCAGAATGTCAGCGTGTTTGTGGCTATCAGACGTTCCTGACATTTGACGGTCTGGATTGTATTCTGAGTCGGGGCGCTTTTTATTGACAAACACCTGGAAGTGTCATCTGTGAGGTGCAGATATGGAGAATGAATCCCCCGTCAAAGGAGAGCATAAATCGATGTTTGACACATCTTGGTGACCTCTCCCCACTATCTCCTCTTCTTTATCCCTCTCATAGTAAGATCTCTATCTGTCTTTATTATGAGAGATCAATCATAAATAAACAATTCAACCGAGCGTTCACAATGAGCTTTTATACCGACTGGTTTCGTATCATAGCTTAATGATAGTGACGAGCTAATTACTTAAGATGTGTACTGATTTAAAGACCTCTCTTGTCTCAGTGATTAGTCTCATCGCCATTTTCCCTTTTCATCACATTTCACACGCCTGAATACAAAACTAAATATTTCTCATTTGCATAATTGCCGTGTATTTTAAAACAACTAATTAACTAAATGTGGCTTTTCCGTTTTCTGCCTAGTAACCACACTTCTCCTCAATGATACAGTGTGTTGCACTTTCATGTTATAAGAAGGCTTACACACATGCATATTCTCCATCTTGCACACATACTCTAGTAACAGTGAGCTTTAAAGACGTGCTGTGCATACTTACAGTTGCTAAGCTCTGACTGGACGCTCACTGTTCTTGCATGAAATCGTTTTATAAAGAGAACATTAAAAACCTGCCTTCTATAATCTTCATATAGCTGGAATTTACCATCCCACTGTGGCCATGATTGAAACCTGTCTATCATCAGTCAGCCTAAAATAAAAGTTATTAGTCACTCTGTCTGCTGCCAACGCACAATCTGACAATGAGGATTTCTGCAAAGCCATAGGTCCATGAAACCGATCTGCCTGCCTGATTTAATCAATACCTCTACATCAGGGGTGTCAAACTCAAATACACAGTAGGCCAACATTTAAAAAATGGGTACTAGTCGAGGGCCGGACTGGTTCAATGTTTATTGCAAAACGTATTGAAATGAACTTATTGCACATATTAAACCTGGAACTAACAAAGCTTAAATGATTGCCTATAAAAACAACATTAAACATTAAATAATCAGTTGCATTCATTTCTTATGGCTCAATCTGCAGCTTCTCCCGAGTCATTTCTTATGATTACATTTCTCCACAGGCCAACAACAGCTTCAACAAAACTATTTCCCTCAAAGATCAAACCAAACATGCCCTGTTGTCTCAAGAAAGAAAGTGCAGAAGGAAACATCCATGTGAACTCAGTGTGCTGCTCTGTGATGCTAGTTCAAGCCAGATACTTGGCATCTCATCTCGGGTGCAAGGTCATCAATGTTTGGGCTCAGGCTCTGAGCTGAGGAGACCCTCAGGGTGGAGTGAAGGTGTGCGTGCAATATACCGGA